TGGATCAAAGATGGACCAGTTTTTAAAGAATTTCCTTGCGTTTGTATGGGATTGTCATCACCATCTTTAAAGATTATCTCCTGCGTAGTATTCAGTAGTAATCAGCAACAATGTAGTTCAATGACGCATATGAAAGTCGTGTGCAATTGAAAACGAGATTGATTTNCACAATCCATAGTTACTGTATGGTAGAATTGGTTTTAAGTTAATAATTCAACTGCACCCTTTTTTCTACACAGTGGTCGAAAACTAGCGTACACTAGGACGAAAACTGATTTTTTTGGACGAAAACTAATGAAATCGCCTCTTTTGCATAAAATATTTTTTATAAAAAAACCCGTGGTGTTTACTTATTGTCATATAATATTAACGTTAAAGTAGACTATATAAGGACTAAAATGGCATATAATACATATGAGTAAGGGTATTTTAAGATATTCATTTCGCATCACAAAGTTGGCAACTCCGATAATTGGACGAAAACTAGCGCACTTACCCTACTACACTACACACGTGCAGCAAGATATTTGTTTACAACTGTAACAATGTTAGATATTTTGTATTTGGCTTGCGACTGAGAGAGATGGTTCCTATTACAAAACGCTAATAAACAGGGCTATTCTCACCTCTCGTTCCCACCGCTGCAACTCCTGTGTAGCCAGGATCTACAGCTTGACCGCCAATAAAAGTCAACCGCCAACCAGTGAAGGTCAAGTTTGTCCCGGGGGAAAGTTAAACTGTCATTGGACCTGCAACGAAATTAATCAGAAGAACATAGGAGGATTCAAAGTTAATACTGTAATAAGTCACGTGCTATACAAAATGATGATGACTATAATCAAGGTGTGCTAGTATTCTAGAATGTGCTCACTGTGATTCCCACCCACGTGATTCCAAGCAGATGTAAACAGGTGCTTTTTTACTACCAAACTGTCTGATTTTGACCTCTTGGACTAGACTCCATTTTCGTGTTTAGATACAGTTTCAGACTGTCGTTTCAGATTAAATAGTTATCTTGGTTCATTTCCTTATCACACAGTAAGCACGTGGTGCGAAAAAGATAACGTGTGTGAGCGAGACGACGACCTATGACGAAATCGGCATTGATTTACAAATGAGTCATTTCGTAAAGAAGTTATATTGTTTTTGATCAATAAGGTGATTGACTTTGAAATTTGCTTATAAACATTTACAAAACAATACAATCAATAGGTATTCTTATTTTTTTATTATTTTTAAAAAAACTTGTTTCAAACGTAATGTCATAAATTTATGCAACTCCATCTAGCGGCGAGTAGCTGTGTGTATAATCTTTAATAACAAGAAAAATTAATATTAGAGATGAAACGGATAGTTGTTTGGCCGGATACCGGATACCGGATATCCGGCCAGCTGCTAGGCCGGATAGCCGGATATCCGGCGGCCGGATAGTTGGCCCATTGTCTCTTTGCATGTCGTGACGAGTTTAGCGCCGCACAGGTGCTTCGAACGCGATCAGTGGGTCTATTAGTAGACTAGACTAGTCACACTTTTCGAAAATCGAATCAGTCCGAATAGAATGTCAGATTTTGCCACTTGTCTAGGGGGCAGATCAATTCGGGCGATTTTGGTTGCCATCGTGAGTGTGTGATTGAATAGCGAAAATTAAATTAGTTTACTTGCTGCTTAATCTGACTGAATTGCATCAGATCATCAGTGAAAAAAAGATCGCCTATTTTTATTTGGCAATATTTTGACTTAACAGATATTTACTGTTTATGTATTCGTCATTCACTCTAAAGTGAATAGCCCAGAAAAAGAAATTAGTTTTTTTAAAGGTCTTAATATGGCTTTTTGTAACTTTTTGGACTTTAAATAAAAGACGTCATTATTATATGCCATTTCATTGATGTTTACCTCAAAGATTAATGTATTTCATTTTATTAATAGGAAATTGTCGTAGTTTTTTAATATCCGGTATCCGGCCGGGTAGTGAGTTATTATCCGGTATCCGGCCGGATAGTAAATTTAGGCCGGATATCCGGCCTACCGGATAGTTACCGGATATCCGTTTCATCTCTAATTAATATTGTTCGTAACGAGTTAGGAAATAAATTACGTGACAAGCCAATTAATAATTAAATCAGTTCAGTTTAATGTTTTTATTATTGTTTTATAGCTATTTTAAATTTTAGTTACCAGTTTCATTGATTGATATTTTTGTCGCTATATTTTTTTGCACGAACATATGAAATTAGAAGATAATAAGTTAGGTAGGTAAGTAGGTACTTTGGGGACGAATAATATAATACGGATTAGGAATTTATTATATAAAATGTTTTTTGTAGTTATTAGTGCACACTAATAATGGTTATCCTAGACATACTAGCGACCGCCCGCGACTTCGTACGCTGGGTCCCGTTTTATCCCCGGAATTTTGCCGTTCCCGTCTTAGGGAACACCTACGTTCTAAAAGGAACCCCCATGCAAAATTCGAGACTTCTAGCACTTGTAGTTTCTGAAGCTGCGTTTACACTGCGCGGAAATTAGCCAAGTCAAGTAAAAAAAACAGTGGGGTGGGGATGAAAAATGAATGAATTTCATCCCCACCCCTCTATTTTTTTGACTTGACTCGGCTAATTTGCGCATAGTGTAAATCCGCCATGAGATTTCGTGATGAGTGAGTGAGTCAGTGAGTCAGTGACCTTTCGCTTTATAGATATATGTAGATGAATAAAGATGGACAGAACAAAAGCAATTTCACTATGGTCACCAATTTTATTTATTACATTACAGCTTGAGCTAGGCCATCCGACGTGCCCTCGACATTGGAACTCCATAGAAGGATATTTGTTACATAGAAGTTGTTTACCTTCCTGTTACAGAGTAAATAAGGTCATGTTTGACAAACAGATGTACAGCAGGTGACAGCATATCAAGCTTAACACTGAGGCATCTTAGATTCTTGTAATAGATGATATTTTGCTACAAAAATATAAAACGAGAAGGTTTGACATGCACTTTTTTGTTAACGGGACTCTTTCATAAAACTCAAAATTCATTTATTTTTTGTAAAGAGGCGTTTAAAAAGAGCTCTTCAGCTACACTTTGTAGCCAAGACCTTCAATTTAAACACCAATAAAGTTTTGTCAGAAAAGTTAACAGTTTCACGAAGTAGGGTAGGTAATCGTGAAAAAATAACGCAGAGACCTTTTGTGCTAGTTGCAAATTATACACATTTAATGAGTACGAAAGATTAGGTAAATACACTACTCGTGTTTTTGAGTAACATGACACATCAGCTGAAAATATTATGTACCGAGTACGAGTAATACTGTCTAGCACCTGTTTCTACGACAGCCTAGGTGTACCTACTATTCATTTTATATGGCAAATGAATCACACATCGTGCGATGCGTTTGTGACCACAAATTGTGGTGTGTTACAAAGGATTGACTTCCTAGTTCAAAGCTGATAACAGAAGTAACAGAACTGTTTAAATAAAACCCTCTTTGATAGAAGTTAAAATTCCAAAATCGCTTCTCTTCGAAGTTTTTGTGTAGCCCATTTTTGCCATGAAAGTAAAGGTACAGATTCAAATGCTCATTACTAGCACGAAAACATGCCAGTTTGAGCAATTGATACATAATAGTTATGTGTGTCGAAACACTAAACATTGCAAATAATAAGCATGCTTATTTCGAGTTGTTCAAGCATAATAGCATGACATTAAGCATGTGTAACTGTACCTTTACTTTGTCTAGGCTCCCTTGAAAAAGAAAATATGGCTTACGTCGTGAATCTTTGTGCGTATAGCAAATGTAATGTTTTCTATTTCGATCGTACCAGCTGTGAGACGACCTTGCCTCGCCTTGACCGCCCCCGACCTCATTTTGACGGGCAAAAATGATGTTCAACTTTCTCCGAAATGCAGACATTGACTCGGCTCAAAATAAAAAATAATTTATGAACGCCACGCCAAAATAGCTTTATTGCATTATTCGTTTTAAACACTCATTCGTGCACTGCCTAATGAGTTCAACAAAACATATGATTTTGTGATTGACCGTTTAAAAAGAGAGCGCTAAATACTGACAAGGTTGCAATCTTAAATAGAAAAATTCCATTCAATACTGATAATTATCTGATAATATATACTTATCTTTTTTCTATTAACTCGCAAAATAACTTGTTGATTTACGTGCATTGCAAGACATTATAGCGCCATCTAACGGGCGATCAGTGAAGCTGTATCATGCTTTCGACGATACTGCCATCTAGCGTCGAGTAGTCGAACTACGTTATTTAGCAGCTTTTGATGTGAGCATGTGGTATGTTGTGTTTTCACTAGATGGCGCTCAAGCGTGCTTTTAAAAGAACTTTGAAGTATTGGTGTTTTGTAAAACGTTTAACAGATGGCGCTAGTAGTTTTCTTGTGCAGTTGATTCTCATGTTAATTTTTCAGTTGTAAGAAAAATAGTAGGATTTTAGAAATACATACAGGAAAATATTAATTTACTTTTTATTTTAAGCTATTTCTCGAAATTGCACTTGATTAATCGCCGATGTATGATTAGTATTCCTTTTCGAACCCCATTTATTTCTTTTTATGATTAAAAACTAATTTACACCCCGCTGTGTACGTAGAGAGGTTTTAATAACTCTTTACATTAATTTCTTGAAAATAAAAACCGACTTTAGTTAGGTTCCAGAGCTACTATTAAGTATTCTGTGTTTATTATGAGAACCTCTTTTTGATGAAGTCGGTTAAAAATTAGTGACGTAGTTTTGCGATTTTTCACTATAAGAGTAATTTGTGTCATTAGGTACTAATTAGATAGCAAATAAAATGTAATTTTCAAATTGAAATCAAATCAAAAAGATCTTTATTTGTTTAGACGTCAGATTTACTAAGACGACTCTTCTTTTTGTTTTTTATTCACACTTGTGTTAAGGAAAGTCCCTCTTTTCCTACAAATCCAATGAATTGTACTAACTGAACCGTTTCTTCTTGTTCCCAGGACATGGACCTGATCGAGGTGCTGTGGAAGCAGGATGTGGACATGGGATTCTCGCTGGAGGACCCTGTGCAGTTGGTAAGTACTTTACTTCAGCATTTTTAATTTAAAACTTGAAAAAACCAACCTTCTTAGGTGGGAAATTGAACCGGCGAACTTTCGCCTGACTGGTGACTGCTCTAAGGGCATAGGCTGGGTTGCACTATCTTACTTTAACTTTGACAAACGTTAAATCTGTCAAACTCCATACAAAAAACACCGGTTATCGTTACAGTCAAAGTTAGGTTAGGTTAGTTAAGCTGTATCCGCTTGAGTCTGGGGCGGAGCCGCGAAAGAATGTCTAGGCCGTCTAGCTCGGACAATAACTCGCAGCTCCGTCCCAAAGACTTCGGGAGGACACCGTCAGGTTTTAGTGAGTAGGCCCTGCCCATCTGGCAGGGAGAGCCTCACATAACCCACTGGTTCCCCCGGGCCAGTGGGTATGCAATTTCATGCATTTCCTGACGAAAAAAAAAAAAAAAAGCTGTATCCGCTTGGGGCGCTGTACAATCCGTCATACATTTAATGTCACTTTTTTATGCAGTCGACATCGACGTAAACTCACACTACGCCCCACTATTGAGCTGAACTTGTAATTTGAGTAACATTGGGAAAACAAAGGATATTTATTTATTTTAGCCTTTCAACAATGGGCAAACTAAAATTGCAATGATAAATATCTAAATGAAAAGCAGTCTTTCTTACTTAAAAAATATTAATAACGTGAAAGTCTAAAAAAAACCACTTTAATTTTGTTTATTCGGTTACATTTCCAATGTAATTTGTATCACTCAACAAATATCTCACTGTTAATATTCTACTATTACTAGACTACTATTCGTCACAAGTCTGGCCAGCATAGTAAATTGGAGAGGGCCATGTTCCTACAATGCAGACTAAATGACCTGATAATAGGGATGACTGGGTATTGAAATCGAAATTCTATTTAGTCCGTAAGACAGATAATTAGAAAATATTAGACTCGTATTTTTTATTTTTTTCCATAATCGAATAATTACAGTATTATATTGAGTTGAAATGTCGCGTGAGTAAAAATTCTACTCAAACGTGACGTATCGCGCCATTTCAACTCGATGTAGCACTGTTATTATTTAATTATGAAAGAAAATAAAAAATACTGTTGTCTGTCTGACGGACTAATAATTGAAATCTTGTCATCTAGCCTATTATGAATTCTTCAGTTAATACGTTGCCAGGGTTGCCAGGTCCAAAATCACAAAAGCCGGACTTTGTGCTTCATTTGGCCGGACATTTTACCCTAAAAGCCGGACATGTGACAGGGGGGGGGGGGTGTGCAATGAGGATCATTTCGATTTTTAGCTGTGAATGCAGATTTATAGGTCTAAGAAATCCTTAATATACAGTCCAAAAATTTTTGTTCTCCGATAAAAATTGACGAAGTTATGGCCAAATTACTAAAAAAGTTCACTGACCGCCCGGCGCGGGACCGATGACGTCATTATATTATATCCGAGGATTACTAATGTTTGGCCAAAAAACGTTTCCCAAATTATCACATCGCAAACAACGTTTCGCAAATTTTCATTTGGCAAATTCTCATTTGGCAAAACAACGTATTGCAAACTTTTAATTCGCAAATGTCGTTTTTGGCATATTATTGTTTAGCAAATTATTGTTTGGCAAAGTATGTTTTGCCAAATGTTTCATTTGGCAAAAATATTTCACGATGAACTATTTACAAAATAATTTTATTGTCGCATAGAATGGACTACAAATTAGCTTGTGGTTATTATTTTGTTTAGTGGTTAGATAATCCCCCCAGGCCAGAAACTGGGTATTAGCACTCATATTATGTATTATTATGTTCAAAACAAACAATCATAAAGTTACACTCACCCTAACCGCTTCTCCGCATTCCATCAAATCGTATAAAAATGTGGTTTTTGGACATAGCGATACTTATTTTTCACAATTTTTATTTTTAAAAATTACTGGTCGATAGGTTACTTTATTTTGATGAATAAATGTTATTAAAAGTTTTTTTCTAAAACTGATAGTTTAGCTGGAAAAAAATATTTTCCATCCCAATAGTACGCCGGCTGCGCTCGATTCGGATATAGTGACGTAACGCGGCCCTGCGTACGTTGTCTTTAGCGGCAAAAACGGCCTATGTTTATTACTTAATATCTTCGTAAGTAATGGTCCGATTTGGAAAATTCAAAAAGATATATCTTTCTTATCTTAAAGATTAACGTAGATACTAGTTTTATTGAATTTTCTACAACAGTACTGATCCTCATTAGTATCAGCTCATGAGTGAATATCGACTTTCGCCTGGCGCGGCAACCAAATAAGCCTAACAAAAGCCGGACAGACCGGACAAGGCAATATTTGGCCGGACAAGTCCCTAAAAAGCCAAACATGTCCGGCTAAAGCCGGACGCCTGGCAACCCTACGTGGGGAGAGTAGACCAAATCCTCCATTTGCTTCTTTTGATAGGGTTGTGCTCCTGCATTTGAGACTAAATAAGCTGATGATGATTCTTCAGCTAATACTATTCCAATGTTAAAACAGGAGGGTCCTCAAGCAACCAAGGTGGCAAGCGATGAGATCCGCAAGGAACCTCTCACTGAGACGATGCAGAAGAAGAAGGAAGAAGAAGAAAGCATCGAAAAGGTGAAGGCTTCGCTTCTCAACGAGGACGTTAAAGAAGTAAGTGGTTTTTTTATAGTTTTAACTCCAAATATGACTATCTTCAGTAAAAAGTAGTGGATGTTCGCGGTGGAAAACTAGGGATTAAAATACAGGGTGTTAGGTAAATGGGTATATGAGCCGACACTAGCCCATGTTAACATGGTCATATAAATGGTATGGTGAAGTCAGAAAATTGATATCTTCATTTTAATTATTTTATTATTCATAAAAATTGGATTTTATAAAATTTATTTTGAATGAAAATTAAAAAAATTAAAATGATGATATCAAATTTCTGACTTCACCATACCATTTATATGCCCATGTTAACATGGGCTAGTGTCGGCTCATATACCCAGTTACCTAAAACCCTGTATAGCACGAATAACTTTATTTGTTTCTTGTTTAGTATTTTTTTGTTTTAATGAACAATATAAAATAACAGAATAAATAGTACTTAATAATAGAAGTTACACGATTCAATTTGTTATTAAAATTCAGTATTTATTTGTACTTTTCCTAAATTAAGTTAAATTGTTTATATGTACTTAAATGTTATTCTGAGCTTTGTTACGTCTTGTTTGAATAGTGTAAAATTGGTACTACCGTTCTATTCATGAATAAATAAATTGACATAATTTATTAATCATTCCAGCACAATATTTCTACACGTAAAAGAATCCAGCAATAGTTTTTTTAATAAACTCGATTTCGAAATATTTAAGTTTTTAGTAAAAAGTTGACAGCTCATAAAAAAGTATATCAATTAATACATTAATAAATTGTAATGTTTTAATACTCTTTTTGTCAAATCAGCGATTTTCTTTTGTTTTCTACTTTTTAAACACGAACGAAATTATTTTTCATGGTCCATAAATATGTGCCTTTTTTTGTAGGTGTTGCCATGTATTTGTTTCTGTCCAGGATGACCCGTGGGCAGGCCTGTCGTACACCGTGGACACCGAGACTGGTAAGTGTAGTATAATATTAATATTATTGCTATTAAGGTGAACCGACGTCCTCGTAAAGGTAGCAGGAAGGCGCTGGATGCAGGCCGCTACCAACCGGGTGACGTGGAAGTCATTCATTGGGGGAGGCCTATGTTCAGCAGTGGACGTCCTGTGGCTGAAATGATGACGATGAGAATATGAAAACTCTTCCCGTAAACGTCGTGAGAGATGAAAGGAAATCGTACTACGACCAATAGGAGAAATGTTACGAAAACGGGAATAAATATTCAAACCATTTTCACGCATACGCAGCTATTACGGAACGGGACTATTCCCACCTCTCGTTCCCACCGCTGCCACTCCTGTGTAGCCAGGATCTACAGCTTGACCGCAATGACCGCCAATAACACAACCAGTGAAGGAAAAGCTTGTCCCAAAGTTAAATTGTCATTGGACCCGCAACGAAATTAATCAGAAGAACTTAGTAGAAGGAGTTCGAAGTTAAGGTTCGACTTCCCTCCATTGCAAAACGGATGACAGGTGTCACGTGCGTGACAAAGATTTAGTAACCTTTAAGTAAAAGAAAATATATGCACCACGGAAAATAAACATCAAATTAAACCTATCTTATGAACTATTAGCTACCTGCCAATTTTTCACAAAATTGATTAAAAGCACGTACATTTTTCCTTGACGCGACAAGATCGGTGTAATAAATTGCAGAAACAGATGTATTAAAATAAGCATTATGTTACGTTCATGTTTCCAAAGCACAGCGTAGTATTAAAATTAACACAACCAATCAAAAACTCTCAATCTATGGTTTCAATTGAATCGACTTGAGCTTCGTTCCGTAATACCTTTAGCCTGTCACATAGCGCAGCCCTTCGCCCCTTATGTACTTCATAAACAGGGGAGGCACCCCTAGATCGTTGAACCTTGGGGTGTATGATATGGACAATTATTTTAATTCTATATTTACAGGAATATGGTAGGGCAATTGGAAATAGACACTATTGACAAAGAACTACTTGAATTACGAACAAACTAGCTCATTTTGTTTGATATTATGATTTTATTTCAAACTAGCGGCCGCCCGCGACTTTGTACGCGTGGATCCCGTTTTATCCACTTAGGGGTTGAATTTTGCAAAATCCTGTCTTAGTGAGCACCTACGTTCTAAAAGGAACACCCATGCAAAAAGACAATGCCGGAAATTGGCATCTTTTTTTTCCCGCGGGCATCGACCAAACCAAGTTTTTTGGTTACAAAATAGTGTAATAAACCAAACTTACTATGGCATGTATACCTCTAAACTCAGTCTGAACTGAGTTACGAGCATTAGAAGTTTGATGATTTTACATACTAGATTTGCTTTTTGCGCGCAAGTTTTGTAAGAAATTGCAACAAAATAGTGACGTCTTATTTTATTGCGCTGATTCTGCTCTAGACTGATGGCTGGAGCCTATAACGGATGGTATTGTTTGTTTACACATACAATGTCACTATTTTGTCGTGTCCAATATTTTTTATACCTTAATTGACGGACTAAAAAATGTTTTTAGGAAACTAGCCTATTGCCTACCTAGGAGTATATGCTTCGCACGCCTCTACACACCAGTTGTACAGAAGCTTCCCAACCAAAAATCTTACTACAATGCCCCGTACATATGCCTAAGTCCCCCAGGCGTGGTGCGTTGCACCATTTGTCACGTGAGTCAGCAGTTCGACCCCCGGATGGGGCGAGCGTTCTTTAATCTGTACGTAATACTTCGTACTGAACTTTGATACAGTTTGTTTTAATCTTACTTTAATGCTTGGTGGTTGAACTGGACCTTTGAAGGTTCTATATTCGATTCCCATAAAGAGCACGTCAAGAAAAAAATTCATGTAGTTTGGATAAAAAACAATTGGGAATTTGAGACCATAAACCAATTATTTTAATTAAACCATAATGACTAAATGAAAAGAAATAGTTTATTCAGTACATAAGCCCTTTCCAGGGCACTTACACACGTCCCAAGTATAGCTTGCCCTACCACCACTACGGGACAACATATGGGCTGATGCTGAGAAGAAGTGGCGGAAGAAACTCAGTCACCTTTGTCAGCCTCTTTTTCAATCCAATACAGTAAGGCCCAGAACAGACGGTGAAACGCAACTGCAACGAAACTTCAACTGCTAGTTACTTTTGAGTTGCATCTAAGTTTCTGCCATAGCGTCCGTTGAGAGACCACACATGACGCGACCAGTTTGAAACTTTCAGTTTCAGTTTCATTCATCAGAATCATCACAAAGTTGCAGTTTCGTTGCAGTTGCGTTTCACCGTCTGTTCTGGGTCTAATTTGTAGCTTACATAACACCAATAACACTTAATAAGTGCGAGCTAGGCAGGTAAAGTCCACGCACTCTTGTCATTTAAATAATCGTTTAAATAACTTGAGACAATTAAATACATTCTTTCTATTCTATAAAACTTTATTTCCTTCCAATCCAGATATAACTTTATTATTTTATACTACAAAGTATAGAAAATTGAATATTATTCATTACCAATTGTGTAAAGAAGAAAACTAAAACTTTGCTTTAAATTGATATTATTTAAAGAAAAAACTAATAAAATGTGTAAAATAATAATTTAATTGATTGAATATTGATTTACTACCTAACAATACTTACGCAAACATTACTATGAGGTCTCACAGTGCGCGTGGAGGCACAGGGTGACACACGAACCAATCACAGAGCTCTATTCAACGCTGTGCGTTAATTTTCTGCTTCACTTATGCAAGCATAGTTTGTGAATACGGGCATTAGTATTGCAAGTGAAAAGCTTCTAAAACCTGCATTAAAATTCATATTTTACTTAAATGTCTCTGTACACCATGATTGAGACAACTTCTAAAGCGCCATCGCCATAAGAGTCACAAAAGATCACTTATTACAACCCCAGCCAATATAATAGAGTTTATTTCAACAAAAACTTCAAAAGGCGAAATGCGTTTCCCAAATGCATAACATAATATGTGAAAAAAAAAAACCATAGACAATCAGAAAAAAAAGAAATATTAATCACAGAGAACACTGGCCGAACGATGACTAGCGGAAAAGTCGACATGAAAAAGGAATTCTTTTTTTTCGAACGCGGCTGTCACTGGACGCCGATCGCCAGTTTAAAAAGACCTCTGGCTTTAGTCTGTTCCTCGTATTTTTGGGTCCAAATTCAAGAAAGGGCGGGGCGAAGCAGCTCAAGTTATACTGGTTTCGTTCGAACTCATTATTGAGCGACGCCGCGCCATCAAAATACGTGTCCTTCTCAAAATTTCGAAGATAATCGACTGTTAATATTATTTTTTGAGTTCCTTTGTTCCATTTTCGATTATTCGAATTTAATTTTGTTCTTTTCATGATTTTTAAATCCAGTTATGGAATTGGACAAAAGACGATCGCAATTCAAATGTAGCTGTGAAACATAAAGGCGATTGGACGTTTATTCTGAAACTAGCTTTTGCTCACGGCTTCGCACGCGTGAAATTCAGTTTCTTACAGATCAACTCAAGCCTAGGTGTATATTATTCAGATGTATACTTATACAATAATACTGTAAAGTTTAAGTAAAATCCGTTCAGTAATTTTTGCTTGAATGAGTAAATGAACAAACATCCATATTATATCCTCGCAAACATTCGCATTTAAAATATTAATAGGATGCAATGTTCGTATTACAGAATCCAATCAATTCAATTTCAAGCCTCGAAATCAAATCAATTTCAAGATTCGAAGAAGTGTTTAGCGAATTCACTTACATATGTCACTCTCTACACGAGATCTCTCTCGTTTATGCGAATCCCTATTTTTTAAGTGACCCCTGTGGTGACATTTAACAGGAATTTTGTTTGCATAGGGGTCACTTAAAATTAGGGATTAATGATGAAAACGAGCATCAATCTCTAGAGAATTTTGCTTCGAAATGCGAGTAGATTCCTCAAATAAAGCATCGAAACATCTCTACGGTATTAAAACGCAACGGAATCAAATATTTTAACTACAAAGGACTGCTACAAAAATGCTCTAACTTATTCCATGTCATACGTTCATTGTGATGTATATGATTAATATATCTGTGACGTCTCAATTCCCCATGGAATACACCATTAATATGTATTGTGGCTCAGATTGGGGTGGCCTTTGTGGGGCTATATGCTTTATGTACCTACAGCACATCGGCCTGTACATGTTTGTACTAAAATAGCTCCTATTGCAAGTATACATATAAGATGCTACTGTGAGTTGCGCTTAGTAAGACTTGACTTCGTAAAATGAGACACAAAATTCGATTCAGGAAGAATATTTTAATCGGCAGATAACTTGTGTATCTGCAGCTGGCCCAGGTTGCACGCCACGATATAATTTTATCAACTATTTTAGAAGACAAAGGTATGTGCTTATCGTGCAAAATCAGTTATAGATGCCTCGATAAAAATTTATCGTGGCGACTGGCGCGCATTCTGGGCTAGCTGAAAATGCATATCTTATTGATAAATATTGAATAGCTATAGAAAATATGACCTAGTGACGATGAAAATTATGGTTTTTTTCTAAACATAATTAATTGATTAGGTGATTATGAAATATAATTTTAATTTGAAATTCTTGATCTAGATTGAAGTCTGTATTTATTGGTATGTAGAACCTTTTAGCCCGTAAGAGCTGTGCCGCTCTTGTATTTAGTTCGTAGCGAAATGCGGGTTGCAGAAAGCGCTCTTCACTATGTAATTTAGCCGTAGATGTCCAAAAAGATAAAATCGGTTTATCATCAACATTTCAGCCACAGGATGTCCACTGCTGAACATAGGCCTCCCCCAATGATTTCCATATCGCCAGGTAGGTAGCGGCCTGCGTCCAGTGCCTTTCTGCTACCTTCATGAGGTCGTTGTTCCACTAACCTCTAAAATCTGTTACTTATTTACAATCCCGCGAATGTAACGTCAAAGGAATATGAATTAAAAACTCCATTAAT